TGTAAATTAAATTTTATGTAATTAATTATTTAGATAGAACATTTATTACATCACAACAAATTTACGGTTAGGAATAACAATTGGATGTATTTAAAATTTTGAATTGTTTTATAAGGAGTGTTTTGCTAACTTAATTTTAAGCTAACAGAACAGTAGTCTTAAAAACAACTCGAAGCATTTAATTTCTCATTATTAAGCTTCAAACACATGATTGAAACAGTGGTTTTCCTTGTTTAAACTTGTATTTAGCCCTTATATATGTCGACGTATTTAGTATAAGAGCATTTAATTTGTAGCTGGTCTGATTGGATAGCATTTAATGAGTATTTAATTACTATATGATCAAAAAAGCTAGACAAATTTTTCACTCATGCTTTTCCTAATTTTAATTTTAACTTAATTTTAAACCAACGTAGCAGTAATTTTTGAAAAAATGCCCAGACCATTTAAATTCTCATTAGTGCACTTAATTAGTCTTTAATGAACATTTAATTGTCCATGTGCCTCTTTTTTATTCTGCTGACTGCTCTTCCTACTTAAACGGACGTCCATTATATAATGTAACATTTCATAGAAGTGAGAAATCTACTCTATCTTGTTAAAGCTTTAGTTTTTAATGAATTTATTACCGGAAAGCAAATAAACTGTTGAAGGCAATAAATAATTTTATTTGCCAACAAGATGTTTCCTATAACTGGTGTTTATTCAGTAAGAAATAACTTTATTATTAAAGTTTCGAAATATGATTCCCATAAAACTTGAATTTAATATCGTAAGTATCGAAGTTTGATAATTTCGTTTGATTTCTCACAAAATACAATGTACAAAACAAATAGAAACTTCCATTTTTCAGGAAAAATCAATTATAGTAGCCTGTAAATAATCATATACGAATATTGATTAATATCTACTTACTCATACCTTTTGGAGAATATCTGGGGCTACATCGCTTAACCGCAACCTCAGTTTCTATTACTTTTCCTAAATTAAAAAATTATTTTAAACTTCTTTTCCAATTTGATCATCCAATATTGGTAAAATATACGCCACATTTATAAGATAATTAGATAAGGAATATAATGAGAAACAAAAGTGGCAATACAGACCTTAAAGAGCAAATCGTATCAGGATCAAATAAGATCAGATAATGCATTCCCTTCTAGGGAATAATTAGGTAAATCTAATGAGGCCCGTATATGATCAAATAAGACGTGTCCTACCAGAATAAAGTTAGGTATATTACAGCAGGACCTGATCAGTAGGTATTTATATATATGAGAACCACATTTCAGTGTTCTAATAAGTTACGCCCTAGTAGAAGCCGATATGGTGTGGATTCTTAAGAAATTTCTGCTCGGGTAGTTTTAGGGAAATGCGCAGATTAGTTCAGGTTAGGAAAAAGTGGAGGTGCGTGTCCAATGAGTCTTAGAACTGACGGCGTTGTGATGATGATGTTGTGGAAATAGCAGTAAATAAATCATTCTCTTTCATCTGCAGGTATATACTGCCGCCACACAGCTTAGCCCACGTAGCCCTTTATAGTAAAAAATGATCCTTTGCCTGGTAATTTTCTTAATGATACATAAATTTCAATTTATACCGTCTTAAATATAACTACAATACATACGATGTATATTGTTCCATTGTTTGGCATATCAAAGTACAAAATCATTTTATACATACATATATTATATGCATGCGCAATCGTTCAAAAGATTGGAACACTTTGAACATTTGAAGCAAAACAAAAGTAAACATTAACATTTCAGCATTCTTTACTAGATAAGGACAAAAGTTTGGTAAAGGTCTAGTTGATGGCCCCCACCCCCGAAGGGGGTCGAAAGAGGAGGTGTCCCCCACCACTGTACCATAAACAGTTCGTGGCGGTCTCACCCCCATAAAAAGTTATAGGGGTTCAAAGTTAATAAATACAGGCATGTAAATATTTATATACTCATTCTTAAACAATATTCAAAGGTAAAACTAATGGAAAAATACATAAAAATATTGAGAAAGTTATATAAAACATTATTTAAATATCTTTATCAATAGGGTAGGTTAGGTTAGGTTAGGTTATCGGGTTTTGTTCAAGTGACCACCCTCTTTCGATCCTCTACCTCCACCCACTTGAAAAATATTTTTTTATTGAATTTTATTTGAATTATAGTGTATGAAAATTGTCAAAATAATCAACTTTCAACCGCCACGAACTTTTTATGGTACAGTGGTGGGGGAGACCTCCTTTTTCGATCCCACCCACCCCGAAGGGGGTGGGGGCCATCATCTAGACATTTACCAAAAGTTTTAATTACCAATAGCTCATTTAACAGAATGCAGATACTGTTTCGCTGTTCAATAGTTACAGTTAGTAACCTGTTTCGCCATTTCCGAAGTAAAATCTAATAAAACACACTGAACCTTGTGGTTATGTTGTAGTATGTATGAATTTTAGCTTGAAAACTTTTGAATGGTAATTTACAATTCTATATGTGCTAAAATTGCTTTGGTATTCATGTTCCAGTACTTGCAAAACAAGGGAACAAATTCTATCAAAACCGATAAAAAGGTCGAGGGTTTGAATACTGTTTTAATTGATTCAGGAATGGGGTTAAATAATCGTTACATGATATGTAACATGTTTTTGACACATAAATGGAATAGACCATGAGCTGTTTGTATTTTAGGTGATTCGAAAAAGTTCGTACAAAAAAGAACAGTACATATGCAAATTTTTAATTTTATTAGATAAATTAGTATTCATCCATTCTACAATGTTTTTTCGGCTAGTTGTGTCTTTATTACATAGGAAAAAACTGTATTTAATGTTTTTGTACTCTTGACAAAGATCCACCATTTGTATTTGAAACAATAGTAAGTTAATCAGTATTTTATGCGAACTACTACAATCAGCGTGGTATACGCAATGTGTAGTATCTTGCTACATTTTGTGGCATTCAACAGTGTTCAATAAGGTCCATAAGGATATCGACTTGTTGAACTGAATCGACTAAATCCATGGCGCAGCTAATACCTCTACGTAGTAGGAATAAGTTCAAACTGAACTAGTCAGTATTCTGCATCATCTCATCATTCTGAATTCCACAAAATATAGCGATGTAGTACAGATACTATCATTTTTAGATGGATATACATTCAAACGTGTTGAACAGGTCTGCAAACTTTTTATCTACGAGTCACAGTCATAGAGACGATCAGTTTCATGTTTCTGGCATTGTTATAGAAACTGTTTTGGCAACGTTATTACATACATTACATTCGTTACAATTATGTAATAATCAATATAGGACTTAACCCAAGGTAATAAAACGGGAATATTAAAGTGGTCACAATCTCTTAATTTACGAATAACTTTGTTAATGATGCAAATTATTCTCTAAATTTTAATCATGGCGATTCCCATGCCATAACATGACTTAAGCCCAAAAAAAATTACCGCATTTAACTCTTAATTAATCTGTTTTGAAAGCATTTAACGAACATATATAAAGCTGTGCGACTAAAAAGATATTTTCATTGTTTTAAGCCAGCAGAAACTGTTTGATTTTTTTTTTGAAATTGTTGAAAAAAAACTCGGCTTACTTGTTTCTCATTAGAAAATTCAATTAGCATTTAATTGTCCATGTGTCTGTTTTTGATTCTTTGACTTTTGACTTTGCCCTTCATACTTCATGGAAGTTTTTTAATGCTACTTATTTACATACAAGAAGAGGATGTTGTCCTAGGCTAGGAATGATGTAAGCTCCTTTTTTAAAATTATTTATTGGTTATAATTGTATTTAGGTATTATAAATAATTACAAATAGTTCTATGCGAAAGCTAGTTAACGATTAAGTCAAATGTGCAAATGTAAATGAACCTAAACAGATATAATTTTAGATTTAAAAAACAAATGCGTAGATAGTGCAGTTGAAAAATTAAATATTTGTTTAATTAACAAACTTTTTAAAGGATTTAACACAATTATTATTTGTGTAAACGCCAAACACAGACGGTTTTATTATTTTTTTTTTATTAGGATATTTTGAGTAATAGAAACGAATCAGTTCTAACCGTTAACTGTTCACAAAACTAAATACGTAGGCATCTGGGCAAGTTGCAGATAAAAAATTAATGAAATATCTTTGAATGCTATTTTTACCTGAAATTATTAAAACTATTTTCACCTGTCCATTTGTTACGTGTGTACCGACTGTTGATAAACTTCTATTCATTGCAAAATTGATACCAGAAACACAATCGTACGTAGACCTATGTACGCATTTAAATTGAATTTTAATTTGTCTGATCCTATTGTAGAAACTTTTGAACAGGTGAAGTTTAATAAGTAATAAATATAACATGTATGTAGGAATAAATAGAAAAATTAATTCGAAAAATTCTATGGTTGACTCACAATTGTTTTCAAAATCTAATTTAGAATGAGTCATTAAAATTTTATGACTTTATTCATTAATAAACTAGTAGGTACCTATTGTAAACGCAAAAGTAAACAAAAGAATCTGTAGTACACAGTCGTTTTTCCGATAAATTATTAACAAGGGAAAACGAAATTTCTTGTTTAGTATAAAAGTCTTATACAATACACGTCCATTTTTGTACCAATCACATAATAGGCACGACACGGCGGTTTGCGAAATTATTGTAATTATTGTTTTCGAAGGCCACAAAATATGAAAGATGAATAAACAATTAATAATTTCGTATATGCATGATAATTTTATTTTTATGAACAATGGGATTTTAAATGTCATTTAGGAGACATGTTCCATCGGGATTAAAATCGATATAGTAACCATCATTTTTGTTAAAAACTTGAGATTGAAGGTTTAATTTTCGTCATAGAGATAAATGTAGGATCGTAGCTAAAAATAAACTTCCTGTTACATATTCTAAACGTGTCATTAAACATTTTCGAAGTTAATGCATGTTAACAAAAACACCATTCAGTTTTATTTTCGACCTAAAGAAACAGGACCAACCTTTTGTTAAAGACGTCCTGTTGCAGAAGGTAACTCACTCACTTCCAGCGTCAAATAAATTCCACCCGCTGCAAGACACTGCTGATCACTGCTGCACTAAATACCCACGAATGAGTTAGTTAATATGTTTTGTGTTGAAGACCTCAGACTCACGTTGTTATTGCACTCCGTTCAACAACAAAACTCACATGTTTCATTATTGCAACAAACGGGTCTTGACTATCAGCTGTTTTACTTTGGTAGATAATGTTCGGGGGGACACAATACACGCAAGCACACACACACGCACGCTGAGACAAAGCATTTGCCGTATGTACTAGTCGGGTACACGTCACGAGTATTCGTCAGAATCGACCTCAAATGAGCGCGTACGCCTGCACTGAAGCTTTTGAGGACGACGAGCGCAAAGCGTTGAGTACGATTTTCGACCAAACGAGCTTCGGTACATGCGAACTTGCTTGGTTCGCAGGTCGTTCAGTGCGGAAATTCCTCGTCTCCCGATGAGGTCGATGGGAGTGGGGAAAAGAGATTCTTCTTTTTTTTATATCATTTTGTATCTTTTCTTTGTTTTTGGTTGTCAGGCGTTCGAATGATCGAAAGAGAGTACAAACTAGAAATTATGCGATTGCTATCTGCTCACAAAATTAGTTGATAATTGTTGAAAAAAAAAAGTTGAAACGATATTGGCGAATATTTTGTTATGATTGACTAAAATGAAATAGCAGTTAAATGATCAATTTACTGTTCAATAATTGGGGAATTGCGTTTATGAAATAATGCCATCATCATAAGGTCGTCAGTCCTAAGACTGGTTCAACAGGCACCTCCACTCCTTCCTCTTCTGAGCTAATTTTCGCATTTCCCCAAAACTAGAACAACCCACATCCTTAACTATTTGCAGACAATAATCTAAATCGAAGTCTACCTGTACTTCTTCTAACTCCTGTTTCTGCCTCTAATATGTCTCTGACTAGACCTTCGTTTGAGAAGGCGTGCTACCAATCTATCTCGCCTATTTCTTATTAACTTCCATATTGACCTCAGTTCTCATATTCTTTCTAATACCTCTTCATTTCTAGCCTTCTGTATCCACGGTATCCTCATCATTCGCATGTAACACCACATTTCGAACGCTTTGAACCTTTTCTTTTCCGCCGCTCCCACCGTCCATGTTTCACACTCGTATAGCGTTGTACTTTCCTTACTTTTTTCCCTTGCAATATTGAGGGGCTGGCCGGAGGAAGCGGTTTTGATTGAGCTAGTTTATTTTCAGGATTAGAATCTCGCGTTATTTTTCCTCGACTTGACTCATTACAATACTTTATTCTCTCTCTACTTCATTGTTGTAAAACTCACTCAGTTGTAAAACTCGATCAATGACCTTTGGTTCATATACTGTTTTAATTCTCCTATATATTACCTGGGTTTAACTGGATTACACAGATTTTGGTTGAGGTACTCTATTTTCGGGATTGTGATATCGTCTCATTTTTTTTTTTTGAGTTCATTAGATTTCGTAAATCAGTTTGATGTTAGGACATGGCAAAAATTATTTTGTAAATTCGCTCTCTACTGCGTTGTTGTAAAACTGACAGTTGTAAAAGTGGTTCAATGACCTTTGGTTCATATAATATAGAGTTGATTTTTAGAATTGAATTTTTTCGCTTTTTGAGTTCAGCGGATTTTTAAACTGGAGGTGACTCATTAGAATACTATACCTATTCTCTCTCTATTGCATTGTTGTAAAACTCGTTCAGTAACCTTTGGTTCATACATATTATCATCTTTATACATTTACGTGTTACTTGAACTTTGCTTTGCATTTATTTTTTGGTGTTAAGATTGATTCACATTTGTTTCTCAAAAAAATATTTTTGAACGGAAAAGCTATCGTGTTAGTATGTGTAAATTACATTATTAATATTAACATCACCAAGGCTCTTAAAATTTTCTTTTATTTTGGAATTAACACGAATATGATGAAGGCTTTCAAGGATTTTTGAGATAGACTGTCATGATGCAGAGAGCCTACATTTCGCCTTTTGATTATTAGCATACATACATATGTATAAATTAGAGTAATAATTTTGAGTGTTAGGGGGCGCTTTGGTAAAAAAATATCGGTATGATATTCTAGTAAAAAGATCATGAAATACAGCTTTATCAAACATTTGAGATACTACTGTTAGGCTAACAGAGGGGTTGCCATCTCTAAAATTGGCAACCAGGGCATAAAGCACGAAAATTCCAGATTTTGAGGCTTAAAACCCGGACATGTCAACAGTGTTAATTAATATAAATCAACTTTTTATTTATTTTTATA